TTATTCTTAATTGTAGGCTGTTGCTATATCTGGGTCAAGGGCAGTAACTCATTCATGAGACCGCAAAATACTAAAATCTCAAATCCCGGTGCCTACGCTCTCTGGAAGGTGGGTAGGTATTTTCATCATCTATTTAAAGTACACATTTTACAATTATCTTTAAATCTGCACCATGTATTGACCCTGGCACAGTATGAAAATGACCAAGCTCTCCTGTCTAATACACACATTCTTCCATTTATCAAAAATGTCACAAAATATCATTATATCTTATTATCATATCTAAGTGAATGGCATCATATTCATATTGTTATTTAATATCTAAGAATCATGTATTAATGACTAATACGTATCTGTAAAACTGTTTCAGTAAATCGTCCAAAGCTATCAATGTATTCATATAGGTACATGCCATTCAGCAAATAGTTGGACTGCATATTTGCCAAATGTCTTGATGTTTCTTGATAGTTTGTCTCATAAAACTAAATGTATCTATAAACCTAATTACCCTTTCACCTATTGTTTCTTTTCTTGTTTTTCATGACGTTAAGAAAGTTTTCTTTGTTGAAATATATTTATCATAATTGTCGGTAATGCATTTTCTTCATTTAGATAATTTGCAACCAATATCTTGATAAATTGATGATTTTAATAACCAAAATTCTGTTACTGAACATTTTATTTTGGATATTAAAATTCAAATTGCAGAATCTTTACACTTGCCTGTAAATAAATCCATGTTGTTTATTATCTTTTCCACACTTGCAAATTTGAACTCCATGGTATATTCTCCCACGCATTAAGATTTTTTTTCTCACATACATGCCATATATTGATTAATTAAGATATCATCATGCACCATTGTGTGAACATAACCTACTTTATCCATTTTTTTTTCATTCTAAAGTTATACCCAATTCATTGTAAAAAAAAATATTTCAATTCTGTTTGTTAGTTTATAAAATATTGTTTTATATCTCTTGGATTTAATTTACATATGAACAAAATGCTGATGGAATATTTTTGATGGTTTTGATTCCTTAAGTTACTTCAACACCACAGGTGATAAGTTCCAAAGGAATAATGAAATTTAGTAGTTTACAAATTTTGTGTCTCTGGAATGACAATATTTTCTAATTAGCAATATATTCCAAAAGAAATGTCTAATTCTTCTAATTTATTTCATTTTTTAACTAAAATTTCTTCTGGCATATCAACTGATATGTTTGGTGTTCAATATTTCTTTTATGCAGTGAACATTGAACAATTTTTTAAAAAATAATATTTCTGTCATGTCTATTTATCTGTGTAACAGTACTTTCAAATTTTGTACACATTAATATCGTCATACTGAAACTTGATTAATCTGTTAATGTCTTTATCTTCCTATTTCAGTTAACTCTAATTGGTTTGATGTTACACAGTTCAAATTTTTATAAATATTTACAGATATGTCCAACACATTTTCAAATTTCCCAATGTCCTCAAGTTTAAGTAGACATGAACCATACCAATAACTGTATCTGAATTATATTCTAGTGATCTTTCTACCTTATCACTTGACATGTTAAACATAATTTTCACAGTAGAGAAAAAGAAAAAAAAATCTACCATCTGCATTGTTTATGTTGATGCAAGATTTAGATATGTGCCGTGTTATATATTCATTCTGTCAAACTGATCTTTATATTTTCTTATTTCTTGTCCAAATTTAGTGTATAAAGTATTCAGTGACCTTTTTTTCCATTTTTCCAAAATTTCAATAGCAATGTTAATCAAATGTTGATTAATTAATGGTAAAACTAAACATATCAACAAACCCAATATCCTTTCACCTATTGCTTCATCTAAATTTTTCATGAACATAGGAAGTATGAAATATTTCATTGCTGAATTATATTTGTCATCATTATTGGTGATGCTTTTAACTTCTTCATCTAGTTAATTTTAACCAGTCTTAATAAATTAATGATTTTCATAATAGCAAGAATTGTAATTGAACTCATTATTTTGGATATTAAAATTCAAATTACAGAAACTTTACGCTTGCCTGTAAATTAATCCATGTTACTTATCTTCTCCACAATTGCTGTATTGAACTCCATTGTATATTTTAATCTGGAAACAAAATGTCCTATGTAATGGTACATTAAATTTTTGTAGACATTAATATCACCATACTGAAATATGATTACACTTAATGTCTCTCTATCTTCCTATTTCAGCTGATTCTAACTGGTTTGATATCATCAGGTTCTAGATGACATCATTCAAACCATGAATCAGTTACTTCTCTACATGATTACTTGATGTGTTCAACACAAGTTCTAAGCAAATAAAAATAAAATAATCAACCATCTTTATTGTTCATATTAATATGAGATTCAGATCTGTGCCTTGTTAATATTCCATACTGACAAAGAGTGATCTTAACTTTTCTTATTTCCTATGCAAATATGGTGTGAAAAGTATTCAGTGACCTTATCTTTTTCTCTATTTTTTTTTAAAAGTCAAGAGCAATGTTTATCAAATGTCAATCAATGGGCCATATCGTAAATCCGTCAAGTCTAACTGAGGATCAACATGTAATAATAATGAATTTGTTTAACTCTGCTTATTTTGGCCACTTTTCTGGTTGGAAAGAACATTAAAGGTTGAGGTTCATTAAACATTTTCAGGGAAGGAGGGCATTCAATATTAGTATATAAAGCATCAAAGTCTGTGATTTATTGGAAAAGTTCCAATATATATTTAACCATTTACTATTTTTATGCAAAAACCTTATATATATATATATATATATATATATATATATATATATATATATATATATATATATATACACATACATACAACTATGTGGATGTAGTTTTGGGTCACTATTTCATTTGAACAATTACATCTCTATATGTATATTACAATTTTCACATGTCTTACTTAGATAACCGTTTTATGCTGACTACACTATAAACATTTTCACCACAAACACTTTCCACCATCAACACATTTGCTTTGTAACTGCTGTTAAAATATAGTTTTGATTTATAACAAAACATATAATGTGCTTCAGAGTACATTCAAGGTGTAGATAAGTTTGCATAATTTTCTGTAAATAATATTCATCCAGAAAATTTTAGACAAAGTATAATTGTACTTTATGACACACAAGATTTATCTCCCTTAGTTTTTTCGTGCAAGTCTGCCACTAATTTTTTGTGCAAAAATTTAACATTATTACTTCTGTTTGCTAATTGTCTTCAGAATACAAATTCAATTTCTTTAATGAATATCCTTAAGTATGACTGCTCCTGTAATTTTAGATTAGAAGGTACAGTAAATGTACTATTTACATTTTGGGAAATTCCTTGTATTGTGCTAATTTACAGGAATAGGAAGCATGGAAAGAATGTGTATCAACATTAAAATGTCCCTTTTATCCAGAAAATAAATGAAATAACTAACTACTAACAAGTCCAATAGATGGCAGGACTGGATATAACATCCCTGACAGTAATGTTTCTTGATAAATAAATCAATGATTACCTGCCTGATATTTGTTAATGTGTCTTTTTAACATATTTTCGAAGTCCAACTAAAATGACTATTTTTCTTCTTTTCTCTCTCTTTTAACAGTTGCAAGCAATCAAACACTAAAGACTGTTTTCTCTTTTTATTAGTGAATTTTCATTGTAAACAAAAATAAAATATTTTACTGAAAGAGAGAAAGAAATGCAAAACTTCATACACTTTTTAATATTCTATTAAGACATTTATCCAGCATCAGTAATCCATGGTTAATAGTTTCAGTGTGTTAATTTTGATACAATCTTACATTTTTACAACTATACCTTAATAACCATTAAGTGCAATCAAAAATTCATGGTACTACACATTTTGTATAGTCCCCTGTAATTAAGTTACACATTTGCAAAGAACAAAAAGTCACAAGAAATCAGTGTCAAAGGTTCAAAAATTCATTGATCAGGAAGACAAGAGCATTTACTTTATGCAAAACCAGAATGTAACATATAATTGCTATGTGGTACTTCTACTGTACAAACAGTGAAACTGCCAATGAATTGTTCTATTTGCACTCCTTCCATACAAACAGAAAAACTGCCAATGAATTGTACTATGTGCACTCCTGCCCTAAATACACTGAAACTGCCAGTGAATGGTGCAATGTGCACTCCTATCACACAGACAGTGAAACTGCCAATGAATTATGTGTGCTTCTTCCCTAAATGCACTGAAACTGAATGGTGCTATGTGCACTCCTACTGTACAAACAGTGAAACTGCCAATGAATTATTATGTGGCACTCTTACCATATGAACTGCCAGGGGGTGCTGTTAGGTGGAAATCCTAAAATGCAAGCTGCCATAGAATGGTGCTACATACCAATCACTGTACCAATTACAAGAGAATGGTGCTATGCTAAAAATTGCCAAAGAATGCAGCTAGGAGCCATTCCTACTGTATGTATTGCCAGTGACTGCTGGCAGGTGGAAATATTGCTTTACACTTTGCCAGATAATGATGCTAGGTGGCAATCCTACTGTGCAAGCTAATAGATGTTGGCACTAGGTGGCAATCCTACTGTGCAAGCTAATAGATGTTGGCACTAGGTGGCAATCCTACTATACAAGTGTCCAGATAATAGAGCTAGGTAGCAATCCTACAAGTTGCCGGATAATAGAGCTAGATGGTAATACTGCTGTACAAGATATATAATGGTGCTAGATCACAAATGCCAATAGTCACAAGATGTAACTTGCTGCAGGCAATGCATGCAGATTTTTTTTTTACTTTGCAAACTATGACATGTAGACAGCAACTTAGTGAACTAAATATACAATTAAATTACCAAGAATGTCATATACCTGATCTATCTATGACCCTTTTACTGAATTATATGGAGGTGAACCCAGGGGTCTAAGGCAATTTACCAATCACACCCTCTTACCTTTGTCTATGTTGAGTTCAAATCTAACCGTTCCGGTGGCCTAGTGGCTAGAGCGTCCGCCTCGGATGCGGGAGGCCATGGGTTTTATCCCTGGTAGAGTCATACCAAAAACTTACAAAAATGATACTAAGAGGATAGTGTTAGGACTGATCGGCCTGGTGTCAGGATAACTTGACTGGGTGGGACATCATACCACTTGTCTGCGGCATGATGCCTTTCAGTGCTAGACAGCATTATAGACTGACACACTGCAGACATAGCAATATGATTGAAAAAGTGTTAAAGCTACATTAAAAATCAAAACTGCATCAAATTTTGACTCAGCCAATATGGATATAGAAGAAAAGTTAACTTCCTGTAGGTTGGTAGTTCTTATTGGGGTTTTCCTGGTTCTTCCCCTAATAATAGTACACTTTCCACCATGTATAACCTATCTGGTGCTCAGAAATGTTGTTAAACCCAAAACAACAATGATATGGATTAAATATATATTTTCCAATAAAAAGTAGAGATTATTTTTAAATTTGCAAAGAACCTGGTTCTAAGAATCTTAAAATTTAATGACATGCTAAGTTGATGAAAGCATTTGTCCACCATACTGAAATTTCTTGTGAGACAGACTGTTCAGTTGAGGAAATTGACTAAATGCTGTCACCTTGAATGATGCTCTCCTTATTAAATGCAGCCCACATTTTACTCAAGTGACTTTCTTTGGTTGTAAGAGTGTAGTACTAACAGAAATGCATCCAATAGGAACATAAACAACACCCATTAAATGCTCTATGAAAAAAAATTCAAGAAATTCACTGCAACAAAAAATATAGGTCTCAATGATCATTTATGTATTACATATGAAGATACATGCACCCATCAGGTTTCATGCTTCATAGTATAACATGATAAAAACTAATCTAACCATGAACTTATTGCTTTTAACCAAAGCCAGTTTAAAATAACAAATATGCCATGGTGAACTTTTGTTATAAGGGTGAATTTAAAATAGATACATAAATCATAAATTTCATGACTGCCTCATACACAGTGCCTGAGAAAGGAACATCCATACAAAATTAACCCCAAGTCCATGAAGTGTGAAGCAAGCGATAACAACCAATTCTGCTCATCAAATCACACCACTCACCAAGATTCTTGATTCTAAATAGGCCTGTATGCACATGGAATGAAAAAAAACCTATCTGGTCATGAAATTAATACAAAATTTTAACCTAAAATGTGACAATTAGGTTACAGTGATCTATATTTGTAAGTGTCTGGTACTGGCAGAAATGAATAAAATCACATAGTCTGGCACAAACAGTGCTCAATAAATAAAACACAAAACTGAACCCAATTCAATGCAAAATGTAGGTTACAATGACCTACTTTTGCAGAGCATGTATTACTCACCATAGCAACTTTTATTCTTCCAGTTGTATGTGCTCAAGCATTAAATAGAAAAAAATTAACATAAGCTTGAAATATTGTATGGGTGTGATCCTAACATACATGCATGCAATCATCAATGGGGTTTTGTTCTAACATGGACAAAGCTTAAAAAATAACCGTAAAAAAACATCAAGTTAACACTATGGGTCACACTGTTTTCCTTTTGTGATGAGGTTGTAGTTTGTTCATCCTCTCATCAAATCTCAATATGATTAGGTGACAATTGTTAATAACTTGTGAGATTTCTTTGACAGGTGTGTTTGGGTAAAAAGGCACTCATCTCTAACAAATTGCCAATCTAACAGGATAAGAAGTATTAATCATCTGCTATTTATATTACCATTACAAGGTAGATACATACTGTTCATACCATTACAAGGTAGATACATACTGTTTGACAGATAATTAAATGGATAAAGAGAGTGCTCCCAAATCATTCTCAGAAGTCAATTTGTCAAATACTTTTTAGAATCATGTCACAGATTTCAAGGTCAAAGGTGGATAACATGAGAGTGAAAGCAGATTTGTAAGTGGACACAATACACTTCATAAAAAATGTGTAAGGTGAATTCAGTGATATTGCAATATTTCAATCTCGGATTCAGTTTTACCTCATTCAACCTGGGACTCAGATTTACCTCATTCAATGTGGGACTCACTTTTACCTCATTCAATCTGGGACTCAGTTTGACCTCATTCAATGTGGGACTCAGTTTTACCTCATTCAATTTGGAATGCAGATTTAATTTATTCAATGTGGGACTCAGTTTTACCACATTCAAAGTGGGACTCAGTTTTACCAGTCTTCTTACTAGCTGGATACTTAAATATGCATGATTAACTGAACTTTAACTAGAAATGAAGATGCGGAAAAATGTTATGATATATTAAAACATTAAGTTATCATTTATGTTCTGAGCTGTTTATCTGTTCACTTTATAGTCTCATCTAAACACACACACACACACACACACACACACACACACACACACACACACACATGTATTCACAATCCTTTACTATTTAAATTCTAACTCTTCCTTTGTTTCCACATCTTCATTTCTGTCTACCTGTAATATTTACACGTATCAACATGGTTTTACAGTGCAAATAAAGATAAAATGAAAACAAAAAATTGATATTGTAAAATAAATTTCCATAAAACATTTATATGACTGTCAATGTAAGCCAACTGATGTACACAGCCATAAAGTCTTATCTCTGAAACAAAAATAAAAATCTAAAATTCGCTCAGGTTAGCAAAACACTGTTCTAGAAGTAATTTTCAATCCTACTTAACAGGTTTTAAAATTACTGTAAAACATCAATTATCTAAGCTGAGAATGCTTACAGTAAAATATGTATTATCTAGGGACCCCCAGTGGTCTAAAGTGCTCACTGTTATAGATCACTACCATCTCACCTCTGTCTCCGTGGGTTCGAGTCTCAGGTTCAGCCAATGTGGGCATGTGAGAAAGCTTGCCAATAGTTTTTAGTGGGTTGGTGGTTCTTTCCAGGGTTTTCCCAGGTTCTTCTTTCACCATTTATACTGGCCACCAGGTATAGCCTATCTTGTGCAGAAAAATGGCATTAAACCCTATAACAACAACCATTATCTAGACCCACATCAATTCCAGTTAAACATTAACTAGACACACATTAATTACTGTAAAACAAAATCATCTAGACAGATCAATTACAGTAAAACTTTAAGTACATGGACCCAGATAAATTACAGTAAAACATCAATTAGCTAGATCCAGACCAATTATAATAAAACATAAAGAATCTAAACTCAGAACAATTACAGTAAAACATCAATTATCTACAAACGTCAATTACAGTAAAACAAATTATCTAAACCAAATCAATAATGGTAAACATCAATTATCTCCACCAATATCAGTTATGGTAAAACATCAATTATCTAGACCCAGTTCAATTACAATTACAATAAAACATCAATTATCTAGACCCAGTTCAATTACAATTACAGTAATACATTAATTATCTAGACCCAGTTCAATTACAATTACAGTAATACATCAATTATCTAGACCCAGTTCAATTACAATTACAATAAAACATCAATTATCTAGACCCAGTTCAATTACATTTACAGTAATACATCAATTATCTAGACCCAGTTCAATTACATTTACAGTAATACATCAATTATCTAGACCCAGTTCAATTACAATTACAATAAAACATCAATTATCTAGACCCAGTTCAATTACATTTACAGTAATACATCAATTATCTAGACCCAGTTCAATTACATTTACAGTAATACATCAATTATCTAGACCCAGTTCAATTACAATTACAATAAAACATCAATTATCTAGACCCAGTTCAATTACAATTACAGTACAACATCAATTATCTTGACCATGATCAATTAATGTAAAACCTCAATTATGTAGAACCCTGAGGGACAAATTGCTTAGATAATTGGTTATCCAGATAACTGACATTTTTCAATAATAAACAGCTTATCAGATAGAAAAAATAAATCATATTTGGGTTTCACTATAAATGTATGTGATTTTATACAAGAAATTAATGCTATCATCTCAAAGAAGCATGGGAAAAAAACTATCAAACTTATTATAATAAATCTAAAAGTTTGTTTCCAAAAGAAATAGCAGACAATAGTAAAATATGAAATGGATATAAAAATTATCTTTCATATACATATGCTTACAAGAGCTTATTTAAATTAAAACAACTGAATATCTGAATATTGTGCCTCCAGTCACATATTACTGTGTCTATCTGAATTGTGCCTCCAGTCACATCTTACTGTATTACTATATTGTGCCTCCAGTCACATCTTACTGTGCCTATCTGAATTGTGATTCCAGTCACATATTACTGTGTCTATCTAAATTGTGCCTCCAGTCACATATTACTGTATTACTATATTGTACCTCCAGTCACACATTACTGTGTCAATCTTAATTGTGCCTCCAGTCACATCTTACTGTATTACTATATTGTGTCTCCAGTCACATCTTACTGTGCCTATCTGAATTGTGATTCCAGTCACATATTACTGTGTCTATCTAAATTGTGCCTCCAGTCACATATTACTGTATCTATCTGAATATTGTGCTTCTAGTCACATCTTACTGTGCCTATCTGAATTGTGCCTCCAGTCACATATTACTGTGTCTATCTGAATTGTGCTTTTCAAGCTCTGTCCTTCTAGCAAACTTTGCTGAACAATAAATGCACTGAAATGGGCGTGTATGTGTCCTAGTATGGGTGACAAGATTGGAGGGATGTCCAAATCGCTGTTCACAATATTTACACTTATAGGGTTTCTCTCCCATATGATACCTCCAATGGTATCGCCTGCTCATTTTGTTCTTGAGGATTTTATTGCACAAAAGGCATTTTGCCATGTTGCCAATTAAAACAAATGTAGATTCATCAAATTTTGCTCTGTTTGTTTTTATTCCAGTTATGCTGAGTATCTGAGCCTCAGCATTAAGTCCCAAATGTTGAATGTTTGGACCCTGAATACCATCAAGTTGTCCTCTCTGTGCTGACAAATGACCTTGACCCTTACCCTGAGAAATGGTTGTAGCCATGGCATCACATATTATATTCTTGGAGGTAGTCATACCCTGTGGGCTGGTTCTGTT